CTCATTAAAACAGATGAATCGCTGTGTTTTCTCTCTGTTGTAACGCTGGATCTGTTCTAACCAAAGGGTCCAGTTATAATGAACCTGACCGCAGCTCCTACCATCAGGATCACTGGGAACGGGTTGGCGGTCAACGCAGAGGGTACCGCGCTGTCTGTGGATAGAGGAAATCTCAGCCGTGTGGTAAACTAAAAAACATTTATTCAAAAATAAATAATTCATTTGTAAAAATGAAACTGTACATTATGCTTTACTTTGGCCGTTTCTCAATACACAAAAACGTGAGTATGGACTAAAATCGAACCTGGAACCTTCTTGCTGCAAGGCAGCAGTGCTAAATGAAAATGAACATTTTGCCAAATATAACAATCAAACCTCCATCAGAACCAGCGGTACTTCACACACGGCTACGCTGTGAGAAAGCTGCTGCAGGAGGGATAACGTTAGCCCTGGCTGAGGTTAGTCTCGGATGTCTGCTTTTTAATTACGCATTAAATCAGTAAATGGACCGCAGTGTCCGCAGTGCTTGCTGGGACAGCTGTCAGTCTGGAGAACATCTGCCACTCCCCAATCTGTACCATAGACACAGGTAGACCCCATCATCGGGTGAGAGGCATGCCAACAGAGCAGCCATATTAGGTCAGACCAGGCTGCTGTCAGAAACGATAGACCCCAACTGAGGCTAATCCTACTATATGAATTTAGACGCTCAGAATCCGGTGAACTCTCAAAGATTTCCAGATAAATTGGCTGAATGCAAAACAGTTTCACGGTTTACATGGGGCCAACTAAATGATCCAATAATTTAGATTCTGTATTGACAGCAAACTTCCTGAGCTTCCTCTCAGGATGCCCGACTTTTATTCCGCCTATGGCTGCTCAAATAAAAGGAGATTACAAACCAGATCCAGATCCCTCGATTTAACTTTGTAAAAATTTAAATTACATTTTTTCCTCCCTAAACATAGTAAGCGTAGAAAAACATAATGAATTAAAGGTTAATATCCTTTTATCACTCATCTGTGGTATAGTAGTAATGTATAGTAGTGGTATAGTAGTAATATAAAGAAAGACAAACCCCTAAGATGGAGATAAACATGGTTTAATCATATCTTGTTGGACTACACTGATCATGTCCGATTAAATAAGTACTTTTAGTACCATAATTACGGTATTTATGGCGACCTGGATGAAAATCTACTGGCACATGAGCCAATGAGCTGATGGTACGGATTGGGTAGCGATAAAATGTGCTCTGATGCATGCTGGGTAAAGAGGGAGGGGCCAGAAAAACATCCAGGGATTTTGTCAGTTCTCGGTCTGCTGTTCTTGTGAATTGGAACAGTGCAGAGGCTGATGTCATTTCACAAGAACGCACAAGTACAGATATAGAGAAACAGCCTTTGTGTTTGTCATACCTATTTAAAACATGCTTATTTTTTGTATCGTTCATCGTCTTTAAGGACTAATCAGCTTATTTAGTAAAATGGTGGAAATGAGGTCGATTTAAAGTTTCTGCTTCATTTTAAAACCCCAAAATACGGACGGGGTTCCTTAGTGATAATCCTGACACAAAACTACCGGTCAGGAAATAAAGCAACATGGCTGAGCATCAGGGATGTGCACAGATAGACACTAGGGGGCGCTAGAGCACCTGCCCTTTTCACCTCTGGACAAAATAAGTGCCCTCCTAAAATCATTTTTCGTTTTTTACTTTTTACACCCCAGGAGACGTGTAGCACCGCCTCCATAGAGCGTTTCCATGGTGACGGGCCAGCTAACCGTCCAGGTTACTAAACGAGTGTATTTACCTCCTTCACCACCTGGTTAGTTCATAGTTTAGCATCTTTAATGGCCTCTACCAGACGGTAAGGAACGGTTTAAAACGCAACTCTTTGATTAAATTACAAAATAAAAAAATATAACTAAAAGCATCTCATAGGTGTAATTATTGAATTGCTGTAATCATCCCTGTCAGGGTCTCCCTGATGACATCTATTTGACTTTTTTATGACAGCTAAGGCACACTGGTTAATTTTTGCCTGTTAAAGATTTAATTTAAAAGCAAACATAAGACCAAATATTCACAATTCATAAAAATATCTTTAATAAAGTTGTATTCAGTTAAAGTAGGGTGTTGATTAAGCTGCATTTTTAATTTCTGTGTTGTCTTGGACTGCAAAAAATTACCTGAAAATATGTAATATTTTCTGAAAATAACTGCATTTGTCCATAATTTGAACTGGAAAATAAGAAGATCTGTCAGTGGAATGAGATTTTTTAACATTAAAATAAGATTATTACATTTATGTACTCTAAATAAGACATTTTTTTTCACATTTTAAATCTAAATCTTAGTTCATCTGCAAATTGTTTTATATATATATGCAGTCAAATCAAGACACCAATGTTGCATTGCTACCTGTGGAAGATCGTTAAGCATGTTTGGCTGTTAGCGGCTACATGCGACGTATAAGATTCCCTTCTTCCAACCCGAGCACCTGCCCCTGAAAATGTCTACTGCTGAGCATCATCCTTAGCCGCCATGTTTCCCTCCTAACAGAAGTGTCAGCTGCCGATGAAGGTGGACCTCAGTGGAAGCCGTCTGGTTCTGGTCTCCAAAGATCCGCAGTAAAAACGCAGAACACACACTGAGATGCACACTTTTTATCATAGTTAATGGGAAATTCTGCAGAAGTGAAATAAACTTAGTGTGATTGTTTTTGCAGGTGTGAAATTCAATCTCTTCCTGGATTTTTTTTGGTAAGAAAACAGCTGCGATGTTTCTGAGCCTCTTTACGTTCACAGCATCTTTGTTTCTAACAAGAAAAAAACAATAACTGTGTGTGTTTGTTTCTGCCACAGGAGAAGAAGGGTTTAAGCAAAGAGATCTCAGGGTTTATGAAGAGTAAGAGCAAACCTGCTGAATCCCACCTGAACAGAAGCAAATGTAAATTTTAGGCGTGTTCTGAGGCGTCTGTGTTTGCAGGATGGTTTGCTGACGGAGTCTTCCTCCCGCTGCCTAAAGGACTGCACTTCACAGAAACAAAGATCCTCTATCATGATGTAAGTCGTCTTGTTCAAAGATCACATCCAGATGTTGAAGCCAAAAAATAAAACTAGTGTTTTATTGATTATTATTTTTCATGTTCACACAAAACAAACACTGAAGGCAGGATGAGGAAAATTACAGCTTTATTATTTTTGAAAGTTTGTGATAATAAATCTTGCAGCTTTTCACACTGGATGAACATCTTAGAGAAAATAAAAGGACTCTGCAGGGCTCTGCAGACGTTCCCTATGGTTGCATTAAGGATGCAGAGGGCGCCTTACAGTCTGCAGAGTGTCAGGGTCCCTGGTGGGTCATGCTGGTAGAAGGTCCATGATAAGACGTCCTGGACCCGTCGGCAGAGGAGTCAAAATCATTCATGTTT